TGTAATTCTATCAATTCATAGAATATGAATCTTTTGCATAAATTAAATTGCACATAGAGACTTACAAGAATCCATTGGTCCTTCCCTGTTTTCTTGTTTCTTGTATGTCTGGCCGATCGTGGTTTCTGTTTCTCTCTCCTGTGCCTCTCATCTATTCACAAAGCCCTTGATGTTGAGAACTTTATTTCGTATGAGATGGGAGAGAGGGGCATGTAGTATATATAGGAGAAGACCTACAAACCTATTCCTACTAACATTCCCCATGTTCTAAACCTAACTTAATGTCCAAGTCAAACATCACAAATTGGACTATTTAATATTAGAACATTAATAATCCATTAAATATATATTCACCTTAAATAAGTTTGACTATTAATTCAATTAGGTCCAATTAATTATATGGTCCACAATAATAGAATAATATATAAAATATTATTACATTCTCCCACTTGGACCATATATAAGTTTCGAAACCCAAAGAACTACTTTAAGCGTGCACCTTTCATCAAACTTATAATTGAATACATATTTCTATAAGTTTAAAATCAAACTAGAAATTAACTGAGTCATGGCGGTCAAAAGTCTTCGAGCGACATGATCCCTTCCATGTACCACAAATCATTTCTAATTCAACTTTACTTTAATATGGGACAAACTATTCGTACCATAACCATAAGTCATCCAACTTTTATGTATATACTATAAAATCAACTATCAATAATGATGATATTATATGTGAAGAATCAAATATCTTTAATCGAATTCAATAAATGTCAAAATCATTAATTGGGCAAGTTCATTATGTACCGGTCAGTCCAACAAGGCCTCATTCGTTATTCCCAATTTCTTTATATGCCTTGCAAAGGCTCTAGGGATTAATGGATCCGCTTTCATGCAAGTAGTACTAGAATGCTCAAATGACACTTTACTTCTTCACTTCTACTTTTACGACCAAGTATTTCAATTTTATGTGATTCACACCCTTTGAATACTTGTCATTCCTTGAAATATTATTGCTACAATACTGCGATAATTTTTTAGCGGCTTGGACAAGATGTCGACATTTCCAAGTCCTAAGATAAAGCACCGTAGCCCTAAATTTGACTTGTGGCCTCAAAGCATACCACAAACTCAACCCTACACCGTGGAAGTCGCAATGATGGACTTTTGTTCCACCTTTCCATAATTTTGCTCCTTTAGACATTATGAGCAAAAGTCTGAATCCGAGTATCCAATTATAACAAAATAATTTGGATCTTCTTTAAGTTAGCATGTGTTATTTAATGCCTTGTAAATACTTTTAAAAGTTTCTTTACAGCATTTAAATAATCATTCAGGGATTACTTTTATATATTTGTTTAATGTACCATCAACAAATATGTTTTCAAATCTAGTACAGGTTCGTTTCATGTAAGACTCCTAATCATTTATATTTAGGAATTTTCCTCCATCACTTTTCATTCCATTTCATCTTTTAGACATTTATTTAGACTAAATGTACCTCTTTTATGAATTAGAATAATTCTTATGGAACAACCATCCATTATCTCTCATATAAAACTTTTATGGGATAAACTTTTAGTCCTTGTGATCTATTCCAGAATATTTCTATTCCAATTACCAAGGACGCTTCATGCACATCCTTTATTTCATAATAATTTTTTTTTAGGAGATAAGACTTTACTTTGTGCAACATGTCCACATTATTAGCAACTATAATATGTCATCGACATACGAAACTAAATAACAAATCTACTCCCGCTGACCTTAATGTAGATACACCGATCTACGGTATTCTGTACAAAATCATAAGCAGTGATGATATCATTAAACTTAAGATACCAATGACGAGAGACTTGTTTTAATCCACATATCGATTTATTCAACTTACACACTCACTTTCCATTTCTTGTGATCTCAAAAACTTTTAATTAGTTCATCGCACGGTTACCAACAGAACTGGCTTTGATACCATGACAGAAACTGGGGAAAAATGGGTGCGGGCTCACTACCATTAAGCGCACCATGAATGGGAAAAACCCATATGAAGCCCAAATGGGGTTCCATTCTAAAACCAATTGGTGGAAAGATGAATAGCTCATTAGACTTATAAGGGATCTATTTTCTATATATAAACGATGTGTAACAACTCACAAGTGATATTATAAGAGTAGAGATCATTATCATGTAGGTTGTAGACTGTATTTGTGCATGAAATCTAAGACATTACTCGCCACTCATTGAATTTTGATTAAATAAAGAAGAAACAGAAGCATTATTAACAATATAATGAGATATTCTCCCTCCATAAGTGTCAACTTTAGTTCTCTATAAGAGTAGAGATCATTATCATGTAGGTTGTAGACTGTATTTGTGCATGAAATCTAAGACATTACTCGCCACTCATTGAATTTTGATTAAATAAAGAAGAAACAGAAGCATTATTAACAATATAATGAGATATTCTCCCTCCATAAGTGTCAACTTTAGTTCTCTATAATGTATCAATATCTAATGTGGTAAAAGTATGTAAAGATTTGATTATTTTTTTTATGCATGCATATAGAGTTATTAAATTCCAAAACACTTAATTTAAGTTTATAAATTCCAAAACACATACTTATCAGTTATATATATCATACTAATTATTTTTTCATGATGTCCAATTTGAATTTCATATTGCATATACAAATAAGAAAATAGTTATATATACTTTTTAAATAAAAATTAAATATCTATCAAGTTTGTTCTATGATATGACATGAAAAATTATTATAATATAGCAATAAGTTTTATGGGTTTCGAGTATCATTCCAAATAAAAATTAAAAATGATTTTTTTTCTCAAAGTTTGAAAATGTAAAATGAAAACGTCTATTTTTATTTTATACAAGTTGAAAGATTTCTTCTTTCTATTTTGTATTAGAGTTTATATATTTAGAAAATATAATATTTGTAAAATTTGATAACAGGCGGTGCATGTTCCTCTACTCATGTTCGCCGATGACCTCCTTTTGTTCCTTGAAGCCGCCGAGGATCAAGCTTCCTTGGTCAACTCGGTACTTTCGGATTTTTGCTCTATGTCCGGCCTTAACATTAGCCAAGCCAAGATGGACGCTTTTTTCTCGAAGAATGTCACAGTAGAGCTTCGGCAAGCCCTAGCTAGCACTATGGTGTTTTCTGTTACCACTACCCTCTAGAAGTATCTCGGTGTACCAATCACATATAGGAAGATTCATCTGGTATCATGGGACAAGGTGCGTCAACCCAAAGAACTCGGCGGCCTCGGCATTAAACGACAGCGTGAGATGAACATCACCCTTCTAATGAAACTCGGTTGGTCCATGTTAACTAAGCCAACTTCTCTTTGGATCCGGCTCCTGCTAGCTAAATACAAGTTGTCTCCCAGTTCGATAATGGCGGACTACATGTTTCCAAGGGGCTCAACATTTCTTCGAGCTTTTAGCAAGGTGTGGAAGTTTGTGCGATCGGGGGTGCGGTGGTCCGTCGGGGATGGAACAACTGCTCGCTTTTGGCGGGATAATTGGACAAATAACCCTCGGCCTTTCCTTCACCATGTGTTGGGTTCTGTTCTGGACTCTCAACTTGATTGGACGGTGAGCGAGTATGTCACCGCCTCAGGCCAATGGAGATGGGACCTTTTTAGCCATCTAGTGTCGGCCAATATACTGTTGCGTATAGCAGCATTCCCGCCACCATCACGGCTAACCGGGCCCGACACTATGTATTGAGGTTTTTCAGAGAATGGAAGTTTCACCACGAAATCGGCCTACATGTCGTTGGTTAACTCTCGTCCGATAACTGATCGACTATTATGGCGAGTTATATAGAAATGGATGGGCCCACAACGGATCCGCCAATTTCTTGGGCCTGCTGCTCAAGAAAAACTCCTAACTAACGTTGAAAGGTGACAACGACATCTCACTAGGGCGTCTACGTGTACTCTGTGTGGGCAACAAGATGAGTCAACCTTACACTATCTACGGGATTGAGTGGGAGCTAAGCAGGTTTGGCTAAGCTTGATTCCGGCTAACCATTATTTTGAGCTTTTTCACATGCCATTAAGAGATTGGTTGATCCAAAACTTGCAAAATGGGCTGGCCATTGTGGTAGTTGGCTGAGAAATAGTTTTTGGTGTCACCGTGTAGCAAATCTAGAAGGGAAAAAATGAAAAAAAAATAAATCAAATAAGGGGTTCGTTGTAGATATGAAGGTTCGGGAGGTCCACTCTTTTGTTCATGGTATCAAGCTAGCAACCTCGGTCGGCATATACTTGGGCGGCCTCAGTAAGGACCGTGAAGTCCACTTCATTCGGTGGGAAGCTCCGGGAGTTGGAGCTGTTAAAATCAATACGGACAACTCCCTTTTGACTGCGTCTGGAATAGCGGCAACCGGGGGGTTGCTGCGTGATACCTGTGGGAGGTGGCTTTGGGGGTTTGTCAAAATATCGATTTTTGTTCTATAATGGGCGCAGAGCTGTGGGGCCTTTTTCAAGGATTCCTCTTAGCATGAGAGTTGGGATATCAAAAGATCCTTGTCGAGGTAGACAATAAAAGTGTGGTGTCAATGGCGAATGACAGTTCAATGGGGATCCTTGGAGTTCATGGTAGTATGGTTCGGGCCATCTGGGAGCTGCTTAGTCGGGACTGGGAGACTTCAGTGACCTACTGTTATAGAGAAGCAAATTTTGCAGCTGATATATTGGCGACGCTAATGCATCAATTTCCTAGTGGTTGCCAACGATCCACCATCGATAGTTAAACTGTAGATACATCATGACCTCGTTGGCGTTGTTTACCCGCGGAATATAATTACCACAATTTTCTAGGCTCTTGTCTCCTTATAAAAAAAGAAAAAAATAGAGAGGGAAAGAGAGAGAAGATCCTTTTCTTGGGACCCCACTGTGTTTTGGAGTATCCTCACATGGGCTACCTATTAGATTGAGACATCGTCTGCAAACTCAACACTGACCCCTATTTCCTTTTCCCCAATTAAATTCTCCCCAAATTTTTTCAAATTACAAAATCTGATTCAGTCTTCTCAGGTCAGCAAGAAAATTCAACTGTGTGCCTTCACACTTCACACTTATATAATCTTGTTTATTGAGTTCTCAATAAACAAATGCTTTTAGACCATTTTAGCATAAGGTTGTTTGATTGTTTCCATAAGGTTGTTTGATTGTTTCCTTTCTCCATCCACCCCAAGAAAGAGAAACCCCTTTTGGCCTCATCTCATTATCCCACCACGATTAACAATCACCAAAGGTGAACAGGAAAAAGTATTATCCAGAAAAAGTTCGAGGGCAAGTACAAAAGGCAAGAACTTGAAGAAAGCTGCCTTTTTTCTTAACAATTACCGAGCACTGTTTGCTGGGTTTTGGCCCAATCAGAGGTAAAAGTTCTGTGGGAAAGGGCATTTCTTTGTTAGTTCCTTTTTGCTTTGAAAATTTTTCTGGTCCCATTTGTTGTCTTTGTTATATGTGCGTGCTTTTTGTGTATAATAATAATAAAGAATAGAAAAAGGATCTTTGGAAAGTGGACAATGGTTTCTAGCTATTTTGACAGCGAAAGGGGGGATTTTTGTGCGGTATTACAGCAAAGATCATATGTTTTAGAGCTCAGAATCCTTTTTTTTTCTTTTTTTTTTTTTTTGCTTA